GCGCTCTCATAGAAATCTTAGCTTCTAAACACAAACTCCAATTGATTCGAACTTCGTCTGCACATTGATGAATATATCCGTTGACGTTATGTGTCCGATAAAATAATAATCATTGTGAAGTTTTATTATATTTCTCAAACATACTAGCTGTAATGCAACGTTAATCACTGATGATTGTATCATACTTGTGATACAGTATGCATGATGCCACCTAAAGTGGCTCATAATAGAAATATCAATCGAGAGTCTTTTCAATTTTTAGCTTGAAATTGTACTCACCAAGATATATACATGACATTGGACACATCTTCTATCTCATTTTCTTCGAGATTCTCACATATTATTTCGACACTCAATGAACGAACATGATCCGATATTGATGCCTTCGGAACTCTTTCATATATTTCTGTTATCTATTGAAGGGCGAAATCAAAAAAATTATCCAGATTAGTATGCAAGTAATAACTACGTTTCATGTCATTTGCTCTGTTCTATTGATTCATAAGAAAATCACAATGGATTAGGTGTGGTTGTATGCTTATCAAAGTTGGCCACAGTTAGTATTCTTTCTATAGACAAATAATTGGAAGAATTTCAAAGAATCGATTGTTGAAAGATAGATGATTGGATTGTTTACTTTGAATTATTCCATAAACTGTTCCAATGTCATATTACCATACACTTCAAATCGATCCTACAAAGTAAACTCATACTCGAGATACTGCAAAAAAAAGTCACCGATTTCTTGAGTTCCTTAGTCAAATAGAACATGTCTACCTTTTTTCATTTGACCGGCACAGGTTCGGTAAACTTGAAGACGGGCAAGGCCATATTGACAAAAGCGTTTTTTTGCCCTTGGACTAATTTTTAGACTTCGAGAGACATTAGGCCGGCAACCATCGCAGTAATGATTACAATTGTCAGAGTAATTCTGCCCGTGCTGTGTTTCACTTCACTTCGTTCAGCTAACACGATTTCATTGTTTTCTGCTGGCAGATTAGCCGTAGCTACAACATGGTCCAATTGAAGATTAAAATCATTGTCCACATTTAACTGATGTGGTTAGATTTTGATATTAAGCCATTTGTGTGACTTGAGCGAGTGTGGGTGTGTGCCTATGGCTATGGCTGTGGGTGGGTATCAGTTCACTTTAAGCCCACACACCCACACCCCGATTTCCTAAACCAAAAAGAGAGCCAGATACAATGTGACTCTATAATCTCATTTCTGTTTTCCATTGAGATACACAGCTATCTGAAAATCAACTCACGGAATGTTCGATTTTAAGATATGAAAAAAATAAAGTAAACTTCCCTAAATAATGATGAGATCATTGCAAAACTAATCCCACTAGCTTTGAAATAGTGTATCGACATCATGATATTTCCTGAAGAAATAAATGAACAATCAGTAAAAGCAAATTTCTCATAGCATTATATTCAGACTTCGACGAAATTTAGCATACATCAAAGAAAAGTCAGTCAATTTCTCAATTTTGGATTTCCAAAATTGACATCAATTCCTTCGGTATTATATTCATTAGATGAAGCTTGTTCGAATATTCTTAGATTTTACAGGCCTTGATCTATGTGTGATTTTTCATACATTCACTGGTGCTCTCCAATGTATGATGTATATTCGAAAAGAACCACCAAAATGTTCAACCTAAAGCATGCTATTTACGATTGGAAGTTTTCAATGGAATATTTATATTAGGCGAACTCACAAGCAGCAGGAATGGGCCTAGAAGGGGTGTGGCTGTGGGTTAGATGTGTGTGTCGTGAGGGACCATGTCGCCTCTTTTTTTACAACTGCATCGCAGTATTGGCATCGTAACGGTCAATGAATTTGGTAGAAGCCAATCAAAAAAGGTTTCGGCTTATTTATAATTGGTCATATCCTAGCACTAACGAGGGAAGGTGTCCAAATGTGAATCACTGTTTTGAATGTGAGATATCCCAGTTTGTAGAGCTCGACGCAGCTGGAAACTAGAAAAACAGTTGGTGTAATTATGAAAGATCATATAAGAAACATTGGCAATTTAACGATATTGTAGTTCGAGAGAGTTATATATAATCATTAATTTCGTCCCTTTTGGCTCTCAACTTTAGTAAGATAGACCAAAGAAAACTATAATTATGCCTTATTTTGCATATGTTACTAATGAAATCAATGTACAATTAAATTATTTGCAAAGTATATCTCCGAAGAATATTAATAATCTTATGTGAATACAACTGATACACCACGAACTAGGGTGTGGATGTAGATGTGTGTGGCTGTTGGTGAGAATGAAGAATGGAACTACACCCACACACACACACCCTCTCGGATCCTTGAAATTGACGTTCACGTATTGCCTCCGATATTCATAAAATATCTTCACTGGTATGCATGTGAATCAAGAGATCAGCTATTCAAATCTAAAGACTACTTGTGCTCATACTTTTCCAAAGAGTTTTGACGAAGCCAATGAACAACTTTATTATGAATCCTGTCGAATACAGAACAAGGAAATTTGAAAATGACGGTTACAAATAAACAGAAAAGAAAAAGAGCCCATACCTTGTAGAGCGTCAAAAAAGAATCTATCCGCCTCATCATCACATATTTTACTGTTTGAGTCAACTCATATGTGTAGTGTTGGCGAGTAACTAACTAACAAGACTAGAGCGTGTTTTTTCTCAATACAGTTAGTCGTCTACAGAGCAAAAGCAAAACTTAATTGAAGTATAAGCTTCTGTCTGAAAAACCGTATTCAAATTAGATGCACTTGAGGTTCTCTTTTCATTTGCACAGATAAGTTCGATAAACAACTACAGAATGGTGCACTCTGTTAATTTTTGTTAGTGGGTTTTTTCCAACTTCCAACACACAGTACTGAGTCAATAGTCAGGTAAGGCAACACTCAATGGTAGCAATTGATAATGGTTTTGTAAAGAATAACAATTTCATGCGTGCTATGCAGAGTAATCAACAATAGTATTAATGTGCACTCATATTTTGTTGAAGTTTGTTGTCATTCTATCGAAATTTGAGTAAGTATCTGCTTCGACAAAATGATCCATATAGGATATCTATCTTTATGGCATATTACTGTTGGAGCGAGATTTTTATTGCCAGTTTGCAGAGGGTCATTCTTCAACTTAATGGAGGGATAAGCAAGATGAATGGAGGATCTGTTCGAAAGTTGTGCATGTAATTAAAGATTGTGCAATATCTTACGCAAAATGTGACAATGAAGGAAGTTTCTATCGTCATGCAGAAAATAGAAAGAATACAGTCTAGTGGAAGCCATGAAATTCTATCGTGATGTGTAATGTTCAGAAGAAAATTAAATCACATTGAAGAAAGGATGATACATCCGTTCGATAATATCCCAAATGGTAATTCCAAGCTGGAAAAAAGGTAAATGTCATTGAATTCTGCTATTACATTCCATTTTGATACTTTTCTACCATGACATATATATTAAAACCTTTTTTGAATATTATTAAAGAAGAAACAAAGTCTGTATAACAAAGAAACATCATTTATTAGATTTGAATAGTCTTAATATTCTATTATTCTAGAAACAGTCATCTGTGCAGTCCGAATAAGAAATGGTAAATATTTACAAGAACAAATAACATGAAGTTGGAAAAAAACCAAGGAAGTATAGAAGAATTGTTTCTCTGAGGACATTTTGTATTATATCATACAAAAACAATTAAATTAGAACTTTCGATTTATGTTCATATTAATGACCACCGTTAAACAAATAGTTCTCTATGTTATCGAACAGTAATTACTAACTAAACGTTCCTATGCAACGAAAAATACCATTATTATTTGAATAAGAAGAGAAACAAATAGGTTTTTATTTAAATGCAGCACACTTGTTCTTTTATTCATGAATCAGATAAAACAATTTTAGACTGAAGTGCTGTTTTTATATCTTTATACACAACAATTACTCGATTTTTTGGTACTAAAGAAAAAACTTTATCTATATTGTACTTGCATTTTATTAGACTAATGTGTTATATTTTTCTCGCTGTTCTTTGTTCGCGTTATGTCACGTTCGTAATTTATTTCTGTTCCAGAAAGAGAATATTTTTGTTCGATAAAGTTAACCTCAAAATCTATCTTTTCAATCTGTGTAAAAAAAATATTCTATAAAGAAAATGACGGAATAAACATCAACTTCTTCCAATTCTTAACGGATGTCAAACTCGCACGAAAAGAATAAGAAACAATTTTGATTATATGTCTTACAGCATTAGTTTTTTTTTTCTTTTTTTTTCGATTACGTGTGTCAATAGAAGCGACCGAAGTAAGGAGATCTGTTCTGACAGAAGTTATTTAACAAAAAAAAAAATTTTTCGAGAAATTTATAGAACTAGAGACTAATAGGAACTAATAGGTAAATTGATACAAAAATGTCCTTACATTTGATGTTCAATTGATAGATTTTTTTTTTCATAGATAAATCAAAATTTTGTATTACATTTTCATTTTAATAATTTATACAAATTTCCTGCTTAATTAATACTATTATCGACATGGCAAACGCACTGTTTGAATCTTCAACAAACATCAATCGAATGATAGAAAGCACAGCTAATACATCGCGACTGGTACAACCTCGAATAATCGAGAATTTTATTATTATTTGGTTAGATTCAAACATTAATGAATTTTCTGAAGGCACAAGAAATTCCATTACCAACCTTCGACAGGTGGTCAATTCAATCAAAATATTTAGTGATGTTGACAAATGTGTTGATTTTCTTACTGATATCGAAGATGAAAAAGTATTTATGATTATTTCAAATACACTTAGTCAACAAATTGTATCTCTAATTGGAAACGTTGCTCAGCTACACTCAATCTATATTATTTGTAGTCAATCGACAGAGCATCAATCATGGATAGATGATTATAAAAATGTGAAAGGAATATTTAACAAAATTGAGTCTATTTGTGATTTACTTCGAAGAAATATTCGTCAGTATGAGATGACTTTGATATCACTTAGTGTTGTTCCTACAAGTTCTTTTACGAATCTCGATGAACTCGATCAATCATTTATGTATTCACAAATTCTCAAAGAAATTATTCTCGACATTAAACATAATAAAGTAGCTAAGAAAGAATTTGTCGATTTCTGTTGCACTCATTATGCTGATAATGATGCTCAGTCAAATAAAATACGTGATTTTGAACGATTATATGAACATCATTCACCAATTTGGTGGTATACAAAAGAACCCTTTATTTATGCAATACTGAACAAAGCTTTGAGAACACAAGAAATCGATGTTATTATTAAAATGGGATTTTTCATTCAAGATCTTCATCGACAAATCGAACAACTACACAAAGAAGCAAATCAAACGTCAAAGATGATTATTTATCGAGGTCAAGGAATGTCTAATGATGACTTTGAAAAGATTAAAAAAAGCGAAGGTGGTCTTCTTTCTTTTAACAATTTTTTATCAACAAGTATTGATCAAGATGTTTCATATAGTTTTGCTGAAAGTGCTGGAGATAATCCTCAATTAATAGGAATTTTATTTCAAATTGAAATCGATCCATTGATATCCACAGTATCATTTGCTTCATTAGACAATACTAGTCAATACTCCGATTCAGAAAAAGAAATTCTTTTTTCAATGCATACGGTGTTTCGCATTGGTAAAATCAAAAAAATTAAAGATCGTTTATGGCAAGGGAATTTGACATTGACCAATGATAATGATCAACAATTAAAACAATTAACTGATCATATACGAAAGGAACATCAACAAAAGAACGGATGGCATCGTATGGCTGTATTAATGACTACCATGGGTAAATTTAATAAAGCATTAGAAATATTCAACTTAATACGAGAGAAAAGTTCGACAGCGAACAGTAATGAACAGTTTGTTATAGACTCAGCCATCTATCATGACATAGCTGTAGCATACCGAGGGATAGGAGATAATCCCAATGCACTGGCATACTTTCAAAAAACACTTGAAATGCAGCGCAAATTTCTTCCACACAATCACCCAGAACTGATTACCACATATAATAATATTGGTTCAATAAATGATATAATGGGTAATTATTCGATAGCACTCTCATATTATCAAATGGCACTTGAAATCCAGAAGACATTTTTTCCTACAGATGATCCCTCATTAGCCATTACTTACGGTAACATTGGAGCAGTACATAACTCGATGGGAAACTATCCAGCCGCACTCTCGTATTATAAACAGACACTCAAAATTGAACATAAATCTCTTCCAGCTAATCATCCAAATCTAGCTGCTACTTATGAACAGATTGGGTCAATATATGGTTATATGGGAGACTACTCCACTGCATTGTCTTATCATAAAAAAGGGCTTGAAATTCAGCAAAAGACCTTACCACCTGATCATCCAAATCTGGCTAATACTTACAAGAATATGGGAGAGGGCTATCGAATGTTAGGCGATAGTTCGACGGCACTTTCATATTATGAGAAGACACTTGATATTGAACTGAAATCTCTTCAACCCAGTCATCCATCAATAGCTAATACTTACAGCTGCATTGCCGCAATATATCATATGTTGCAAAATTACCCAATTGCATTATCATACTATGAAAAGGCGCTTGGAATTAAGCAGCGTTCCTTTCCTTCGGATCATCCATCTATAGCTAAAACATACAGTGAGATCGGTTCACTACATGAATCAATAGAAGATTATTCAACTGCACTTTCATATTATGAAAAAGCACTTAAAATTGAACAAAAATCTTTGCCATTCAATCATCCAAGCCTGGCGTACAACTACAATAAGATTGGTTCTGTGTATGACTCAATGAACAATTATCCATCTGCACTCTCATATTATAGAAAGGCACTTGATATCCAACAGAAATCACTTCCACCAAATCATGCAGATCTAGCAAATACTTACAACAATATCGCTCTCATATATCAATCGACAGACGATTATTCGACGGCTCTCTCATACTATCAGAAGACACTTGAAATGAAAGAGACATCTCATCCATATAATCAATCATTGATCGCTACCGCTTATAATAATATTGGTGAGATGCATCGTTCGAAGGGAGATTATTTGACTGCATTGTCATATTATGAAAAAACTCTTTCAATCTGGCAGAAATTTCTCCCACCCAATCATACATCACTAGCCATCTTGAATGCTAACATGGCGATGGCTTTCAAAGGTCTCTGTCAATATAAAGAAGCCATTAAGCATGCTGAACAAGCTGTAAACATTACTAGATGTAATTATGGTCTTCGTCATTCCAGAACAATGGCTTATCAAAAACTTCTTGATGACCTCCAACGAAATGAATGATTAAAATTGTTTCTCTCTGCGCCGTTGTGATATAATAATGACTTTAAAAAGATTAAGAAAAGCTATAGTGATCTTCTTACTTTTGACAATTTTTTATCAACAAGTATTGAACAAGATGTTTCATATAGTTTTGCTGAAAGTGCTGGAGATAATCCTTAATTAATAGGAATTTTATTTCAAAAACTAAATGCCAAAGAGACAGCTATATCGTAAGTATCTAAATCTTGGATGAGGGTATGGATGTGAGTCTGGATGCAAAGTTAATGATTGAGTGTAGGTAGGGCTGGGTGTAGGTCAAGTCTTCTCTGAAACTCACACATCCACATCCACACACTCCACCCACACCGACAACCTTGTAATGCCAGATCAGTCATATTAATAATTGACTATTATTGCATTAAAAAAAGGATCGAAATATTTGAACAAAGTGTTCCTGAAATTCATTTTTTCTACCATGTCACAAACAAATCTTGTTACCAATTCGAAATCTTCGCTTCAAAATGAAAGAAGTATTTGAATAAAAAGTTTCTCAAACCTATTCATTTTTTATACCATTGTATATTCTATTGTCAACTAGAAAGCTTGAGTTTGAATTTGATAAGTAGATGAGGTAAGAAATACTTGCTACAAGTGCGGTAATTGTTATTATTTAGCGACATAATCATTGGGCATACTACTCACTGCAAATGTTTTGTTCTAAGTAAGTAAGATAGTTGAACAGAGTCTTCGTTAGAGAAATTCATCTGAAAGGTAGTGTTCGATTAAACTGTTAATTTGAAATATTTTATTCGAAATAAAAAAAAATAATTCAACCGATTTTTGATTCAATAACACATTTGTTTTGTAATCATTGATCCTATTGTAAATCTAAACCTTGGATACAAAAATAAAAGAAATAGCTGAACATTATCTTGATTATATAATTCATGTGTTGTCAAGTGGAATCTATGAATAAAATTAAATATCCTTCAAAGTGAGAACGGTATAATTAAACGTTATTGTGATTGTTTAACAGATCATTTATGAAAATAATTCATATTCAATATGAGTTCCAATCACATCATCAACTGCACACTTTTTTTTTGAGTTTACTAAAATATTTTTACAGATTGTTGCTATGAAGTGTTCATTTCTAATTAGCTATCGATCGTAGCATCCATGATACTTATTTTTGATCGATTTCAAGGAAAATAATTGAACAGAGTTTTTATAGAAAGAATTCTTTGGAGATGTGATCATTCATGACATTATCAATAGTCAACCTTTTGCTTGGAAATGAACTAGACAATTGAAGATGGTTTTTGTGAGTATAATTCATTTCTGATCACATGGTCCATTGTATCATCAACTTCAAACCAATGCTTCGATACAAGTAAAAGAGCAGAACAGAGTCTTTTTTCGAATTTTTTATTGATAACAGGTTCGCTTATGAGTTGACTCACTATAATGTTTACTATACAATAAACAAGGTAGTTGAAAAGAAGTTTTATGATAAGAATTCTTTAACGACATAATCATTTATCAAGTTACTAACTATAACTCATCAGTGAATCCAACGGTTGAACTGAAGTATTATAGCATCTGTATAATTGCAATGTAATTGTTAGTTATTTCGGAAACTGAAAAGCTTTGCTTAGAAGTAAATTCAATAGTTGAGATAAATCTTTATTCTACTGAATGTAACAATAGTAAATATTTATTAATTCAATGATCATCAGATCTACTCTTCTTTTTAAACATTAATTCTTATTGAAGTATAATATTAGATCGAAAATATGCTGAAAATTGTTCACGTTTTATCTAAATTTCACATAATAAGAGGAGAATACCTTGTCGTTCATTAATGCTCAAAAACGAAATGCTTTCTATTGTATGAATAAATATGCTATATAAGAAATTAATTGACTGATTTATAGGAACATTCCAGTTTCGTTGGGATATGTTATTGTTTTTGTCATATGTTTTGATAAGTACAGAGATTGTACATAAAATGCTTTTCCTTGATTGACTTTTTTAGGGGTCATACTGGATTTTCTTATTCTGAGAACCTTTAGTTCAATTTTCAAGAAATAAAATTGAATAAAACATGACCATTCACAAAAAAATGCGATTCCATCGAGAAGATACATTTTTCTTTCTGAAAAATGTTTGTTTTATGTTTTTCTTTTTTTCCTATACATAGTACATTATCTAAACTGTAACTCCTTTTACAGAATTGAACAAGTCAATAATGAACATATCAAAGTGCATGAAACACGAAAATAATGTACACGGTTCGTAAAGATCAATGTTGCAATTACAAGAATGATGTCATCACTTAGTTTTATATAGTACTTGTTCTAGTTTTTTGTATACTTAATTTATTTTGTTTCTGATAATAACTAACTCTAAAATTGTCGTTATCATGATAATTCAATATATACGAGAAAAAGAATTATTAAACAGTCTCGATTGCCCGAATGTATTGATTTCTACAGTTGTATACGTTAATCTGTCGAAAAGACTATTCTTTCCTTTCCTTTCTTGTTCATAGCAACATATACTATTGATTTATTATGACCCGACAAATTACAGCAAATAGTTTTATTTGAAACATAAAGCACATTATGAAACCGAACAATGTTTTTGATAAATTGAAACATAAAATTGACTTTATACATCACATAAGAACATGTTTTAGTAATTCTCTATTAAAGAAGAAAAACTAAGTTCAAATCATAGATAAGTAACTAAAAATGATATCAAAATAATCATAATCTTTGTTTATAATTGTTGGATTTCAACTTATCAATATCATCCAAATATATTTAACTTTGACAAACTACTGCTCGTTTTATTGATAAATATTTAACAAAAAAAGTTATGCTTATAATAAAGAAAAATCTTAATCAAAGTTTGTTACTATTGCGAGCGATTCATATTTGATGTTTCTTCAGATTGAGATGTGTAAAATAAGGAAATAGAATCATTGTTGATGATTTATGCTTTTCTTTTAGTGATTGTTTGGTACATATCAATTGCTCTGTTTTCAATCAATTTTTAATATATAATGAATCTTTTTGGACTAGTACACAAGACGATTGATCATGTTCAGGTTAAATTATTATTCTCATTACCATACTAACAAATTTAGCAAATGATGGATCCATAGCGAGCACAGGCTAAAATATTCAAATTTGAAAGTATTTCCAATTCATGTCCATATTTCGAAATGTTAACAGTATTTATTAGGTTTTTTTGTCATAGTTGGATAAAGGACGTCGAGTAATATGGAGAGAACAGACTTTTCAAATATAAAATAAGAAATTTTTATGAAAATCAGAAGTTGAGATCTATTTTACTTTTATATTTGAACAATACTTTTTTTTATGTAGCTCAACGAACTCTATCCAAGTATAATGAGAAATGAAAAAATAAGTACTGCTAAAATTTCGAATTGTGAACATTGTATCTTTCACTAGAAATACATTTAAATTTGAATATATCCTTATCAGTGCACGATGTGGACAGCTCATATATTAAATTTATTAGTTTGACAGCATTCTCTGTGATATCTATGAGAAAACATTAAACAAATGATCATAATGTTTGTTTGTCTTCAAAGTAATCAAGATATATGTTTATTTTGTATGGTTAACTTCAGACAATAATATTTCTTAATGAAAGTCATGCACGATTTGAGAGTGTGGGTGTCCCCTGTATGCAGATATGGACGAAGGTGATATTTACATCAAAACCACACCCACACCCTAAAAAGTGTCTACAAAATAATGTGCTTTCTTTACATGAATTATGAATCTTTACAACGAGTAACACACAATTTCATAAGAGATGCTACATGAATTAATTGTACCAAAATAAATAAATAAAAATTACGTGGTGAAACAAAATGTTCGAATTCTTCTTTACAAGAATATTTTTCTTATGCAAAAATAAAGACAAATAGAATAAAATAAGAGGGTGTGGGTGTTTGTCCTTCACTCTCATCTTCACTCCCACATCAATATCCATCTACATTCTAACGAGAGTATATTCTGAGTTGTTCTAGAATATTCGATTTTATATTGTGGCTATGAATAGATTTTTATAGGATTAAAAAGATCTTCAACACATTCTTACTTTTAGTTTCATGATGAAGGTCTATGGCTTTTTTTAGTAAAGATTTTACCTATAACATGATATTTTCCAAACAAATCGAAATAAAGAATTGTTACCTGATATTTTGTCTTTGGATACATCTAATGTTCGTTAGAATACTTTGATATTTCCAACAATAGGACAAGTATCTTTATCAAAAAAAAACAGTTTTCCGAACGCAATCATTTACTACAGCAAGAGCGTCATAGATGAATTTATCTAAAATATCAATATTTCGAGAAGGACAAATTTGCTGATGTTGAAACTTTCAGGAAATTCTCATGACAATTGGATATATCTGCAGGCAAAATTTCGAGCCAATTTTGTTTACCATCATAACTCTTTGTTACTAAGGCTTGTGCTTCAATTTTTTTTAGTCTTTTATTTATTTTCTAGACATGAACTTCCAACCAAAATATGAAACATAATATCTCAGAAGAGATAACTTGATTTCTAGTGAACTAGAAAAGATGTCATTTAAAACATTCATTTCTATTTATTAGATAAAATCATTTTATCTTCTCGATGAATCATTAACAATTCGTAAGACGATCATGCAATGTTGTTGTTCAGAACACATCTTCAAACCATAGTCTTAATCTTATCCATGTTTTTGCTGATCATTTGCACCAACTTGTTTTAATTCATATAAATGTTCGCAGCGACTGCAATGTTCTTCTGAAGCGATCAAATAAGACTTTAATACTATGTTTATTGCTTCAGGACACATTGTTATTAAAAATTCTTTTAATCTATATATATATATGAATAAAACTATAAGATATATAATTTGGTACACCTGCTATTAAAACATTCAAAATTGAACAAAATATAATTTTCTTTTGTGTAAACAAAGTGTGGAA